CATCGAATGGTTTAAGAATAAGTCGAAGAATGAGATCAACCGTTCACTCAGTTGATTTGTTTTTTGTGTACTCAAAAAGTGAGTACACCCTAGATTCGGTCAGTGTGTCCGGCTGTCCGTTAACACGATAACTTTTGAAAGCGTCATTCAATTGCTATGAAATTTCGTACACAGAATGATCTTATCAATATCTCAGTCGAGTTCGAAGATGAGAGGGATCCGTCAAGAAATAGCTGAGTTATCGAAAAAAATGTCATTATTGACCAGACCATCCGTGAGGGGGGGGGGGTACAGGGATTTTTTCAAAAAAAAAAATTTTTTCAGAATTAACCCCAACATATATAAATTGACTCAGTTTTTGAAGGACACATAACGATCGAATGCAAATCCAACGTTTCCGCATTTATTTTATTATTAATGTACTACTTATGTTGAATAACACATACAAAGTGAACGAGTACTTGCAATGGTCACTATGAGTCGCTTTTACTGTATAGTATTTCAATGAAGGAATGCCTTTGTTCTCTAGATCTAGGAAGAAATAGCGCCGTAATATAATCATGAAATTGATGATGTCGCGATCGAATGTTATTTTAATTTTATTTGCATCGTAAATTGTAAGGTTTACGAATCAGACTGACTTAATTATGATAGTTTAATATAATCAAAGTAGAATTTCATTGCAGTGTCTTTCATAATTTTCTTATGGAGCACTTGCTAATATTCATGAAACATTCTTTAGAAATTTGGATTTTGATCTCCTTAACTTGAGATGAAAAAATTCCACAATTGAGTAAACATTTACACTTTCAAACAGATTTTATATATAGTTATTTTGTGAAATTTTATCGCAAGTATTTCATAGAAAACACGTGAAATATTTTGTGAAGATGAATTCAATAGTGACCCATTGTGGTGATAGCAGTAGTTTTTCTGAGAAAATAAAATCATCCTTCAATTGATCGATTCAAAGATTGAATTTTATCTAGTCGTTAAAAATCACATTATTTTCCGAAGATTTTTCTATCGATTATCATATTTCCATCCTCAGAGCAATCTTTTGTACCATGTTCTGAACAATATGTGCCAAGCACTATCTCTAATATTTTCTTCATAATGACAAATCAGAGGTAGAACAGATTGTGAATCGAATTAAGGTGTCAGACAGATATTTGTTCTAACGAATTGAATGAAACTGTTGAGTTTTCAGGAATTCTATGTTATCACATTCAAGCTATTTCGATCATGAAAATCGATTCATTTTATTTGTTGAACGTCCCCTCTGGTACGAAAATTTTGTTCTAAATCAAATATATATATTTATAATAATAAAGTTTTCTTTCAAAACTTTCCACTAGATCACATCTAACGAATTATAGCTAGAACTTATTTCTCCTCTTCAGTACACCGAATTTATCGGTTTTTCTTTAGGATAGCATGCCCAAAATGGATTATCTAAAAAGCAAGAAGAATATTGCTGATATAATGAAAATATTAATTGATATATTTAATCTTGCTGAACTAATAGGGGTTTATTTTATTGCTCGAGAAGGTGATATTGATGAAAATGAACAACAACGTTTCTTTTTTATACTCTTTTCTGTGGGTGGTGCTCTAGTATTTAAATCGCTCTTTGTTCATCCGATATTAACGTTTTTGTTCAGTATGATTGTAGAAAGTGTCGAATTAATATTATATTTAACAATATTATCAACAACAACTAGTTTACTTGTTGTTGTAATTTTCTTTTTTCTTTTGGAAATTATGTTTCATCTAATTAGTCTAATATGTCTGAAAGATAATGGCGATAAGGATCGTTTTACGAATTGTGCAGAAGACTGTTGTACATTACCAGTACGCATAGTGTCATATGGTTTATTATTTGAAACGCAAATATTCTTCTTATTTCTGGATACTAGTTCACCATTTCGTGGTACTTACTATGAAATGTTAATGATATTATCAACATGTTTTGGTTTATCTGCGATAAAGGAAGTTGCTAGACGCTGCTGCAGCACGGACGAAAACGACGATGAGGATGACATTGATTTAGAAGTCATATGGCAAGGAATATTAAGATTATTTATCGTAATCGAAGCTCCCATTGTTATGCTCACTGGAGTTGTATATGCAAGTCAATCACTGACAGATAGATCATCACTGAAAACATATGATTTTGCTATTTATATTATTACTTTAATTACATACGGATCAGCTCTTGTTGCATTAGTTTTTTCACTTCTATGTAGTTTATATTTATGTGCAGGTACATTGTTACAGAGTACAATCGATTGTTTTTCTCGTAGCAAATAAATTGAAATAAGTCGTTTGAACGAAAAATATATGCCAAACAAGTTAATGGAGATTAGTTATCGAAAAAAAATGTAACTATAGATTATTGCTAAAATAATGCAACGAGAAAATGAAATAAATAAGGCAATGCCGATGCGACATTTGAGCAAGCTTCATAGAGACTTTTTTTCATGGTTAAATTCAGCTCCTTGAGTGTCTTCTAAATGTAGAGTGTTCGACACATTCGAACTATGCTGTTACAACGAAACTAGGAGTGCCACATTTAAATTTAAAATTAATTAAATTTTTTTAAATGAAAAGTTAAATATAATTTAATTTTAAATTTGGTATCATTTAAATTTAAATTAAATTGCTTGAAATTCAAATTAGTTAAATTTTGAAAACTAGTGGATAAACATAGTTTTTGACTTGATTGCTACTATTTTAAGTCAAATTTGAGTATGTTTCCTGTTTTCTAAAGTTAAAGCTAGTCATTCTTCTACGAATTGTGCTATTACATATATTTTTATGAGTATCCCGGTCAAGGGGGAAAAAGCGGCTCCTGGTGGCTCCTGATGGATTCTAGAATCCACCAGGAGCCGTAGATTCCACCAGGATCCATAGAATCCACCAGAATCCACCAGGATCCATTTTGATTAGTGAATTTATATCAATATTTTAAACAATTTTCAGTT